GGTGTGACAACTATGTTCATCAAAATTTTGATAGAATAAATAGGATTACCTACGGTTATGGTGGCAATGGTGGTGGAGAGAAAAAAATTTTAGTAGTGGAGGGTAAAATGGGTTAGGGGCGCTGAGGTGGCATGCCACGTGGCATCTATCTCATCATATGTCACTGCACATAAGATTAGATGTCCACCTTGGATAAACTTAATGGAAGTTGGGTATATTTGAACCAATAGTTTAACGGCAAGAGTATATTTAGATTCAAAGTATAATGAGGGTATATTTAAACATTTTTTCGTAGTACATGGCTATATTTGGACCTTTTTCGTTTATATTATGCCATCTACTAATTTACCCAATAGCCAAATTTAGATGCTAACAAAGCCAAAGCTGAGGGAAATTTTTTGGGAAACAATATGTACAAGAGATAGCTGGATCTAATGATGAAGAATGCAAATATAAAGGTAGATACAGGCATTCTTCTATTCTTCACAAAATAAAGGATAGAAAGAAAACAAAACTCAAAACCTCTTAACCTTATTGTTCACCTTGGTCCCCATAAAATTGAAGGCAATATTGAACTGATAGTGGCTTCCCTCTGTTGGTTGTCGGCCCTAACCTGGGGGTACTTTTGTGAAATTGTAATCCAAGTTGGTTTCAACACACACCAAACCTTCCAGCGCCTTAACCGCCAATGTCATTGAAGGCCTCTTGGTGAAGTCGCCCTGTAGACACCATGCAGCGATGCTCATCATTTCTGTCACTGCTTCTTTATGGCGTTGCATGTCTTCATTGGTTTTGTCAACCATGTCAATGAGCAGGTCTTCTTCTGATTTTCCTTCAAAAACACTTAGCAAATGGACATCATCATTAGACTGGGACAAATCCAAATTCTTTCGCCCACAGAGAACTTCCAAGAGCACACTTCCAAAGGCATACACATCTACTTTCTCAGTGATTACTGACCTTAGCCATTCAGGGGCTAAATACCTTGGTGTTCCTCTCATTCTAGTTACAATTTTACTTTTGTATTTCTCAATCAGTTTCGACAACCCAAAATCAGAGATCTTAGCATTGAAATTTTGATCTAGAAGGATATTTTGTGGTTTGATGTCCAAATGAATTATCTTCTGGCTGCATTCTTCATGTAAATAAGCTAAACCTTTGGCGATATCTGATATTATCCTTCGCCTTGCATGCCATGTAAGCCCATTTTTTGGATTTTTATGAGAAATCCACCTATCTAGTGATCCATTTACCATGTGCTCATATATCAGAAGCCTGTGGCTCTTTTCAGCACAAAATCCAATGAGTTTTACTAAATTGACGTGGTGAATGCCACCGGCTATCTTTACTTGATTCTATCACATGACCTACACCATCCAGATGCTTCACAGCTATTTTGGTGCCGTTACTCAATGTTCCTTCATATACAGAGCCAAATCCTCCTTCTCCGAGCTTTGTGCTGAAGTCTTCTGTCTCATTGTAAGAGAACCGAGTTAGTATTCCCGGTAAGATTGATTCTAGATCCAGAAAATCCCCAGTCTTGCTGGACTCATGCGTCCACTTTTTGAAAAGGACAAAGCATGTAGTGATACTTAAAATTATCCCAAAGAAAGCTGCTAGAGTAGATCCTATTATCACTCTGATTGGAGGCTGATACTGTGCCTTTGCGGAATTTGTGCCTTTGAGGATTGCACCTTAAGAAGTACTCTCTTGTCCATTCCGTCCTCATTGTCTACGAGAAATAAGACTAAATTCAGTAACAAACAGCTCCCTCTTCGATCCCCATCAGAATCATATTCGAAAACAACAGCTTTGCAGGAACAGATGCTAAGGCAGGCCCTTTTGCAATCTTCCAACTTTTTCCCCTTAAGGCGTGATATGCTAGAAGTTAGTTCCCCATTGAACTCAATTGCAAAATATGTGGTAGTCCTCAGCTCTACGAAACTATGATACTGCGAAGAGTTGCAGTAAATGGGTGCCAGCTGTGAACATCCAAGATCTTGTTTCCTCTCAGAAAATGGCCTGAAGAAATTTCTTTCGGGCAGACAAGTAAGTTTCCCTTTATTTGTGAAAATGCTATATCTTCCACACACCATTGGGTAGCCACAGTTCCCTGCATATGGCGTCAAAAGATCAGATACGTCTTTCCAATCAAATACTCTTATCTCCCATTGGTAAACCCGTAAATGTCCATCAGGCCCAAGCTTTGTGAATTGAGCTGGTGATGTAGGAGGGTGTTGCAGAGCAGTAAGGGTTTGACCATCAAAACTGTAATAAGAAATATCCGGAAAAGGTGAAGCGTAGTAAAACTGAGGTGGGTCAGAATCTACATCAGTGGCAAGGCTTCCATTGAGGATAGTTAATAATAGCAAACCTTGACTCTGATTGGTTGCTGAAATGCTTGCTATGAGTTTCTGCCCAGAAACCAGACTCTGCCCCGGGAGCATAGAATCCGTAGGATGATCAAAAGATTGCCAAATTGTGTGATTGGTTTTATCAAAGAGCACGAGATTCCCCGTTTCTGTCAAGTTTAAGCCTGAAACAGATTTCCCATTTGTATTTGTAGACCAAACAACAGTACCATCAGAGTCTGACAAGACCAAGTTACCATCTTGGCCTAGTTGCAAGGTTGCATTGGCTACAGAATGGTTTCGGTTAGCAGACCAAACTAACTGGGAATCCAAATAATATGCCTTTTCGCTCCGAGTAGCAAAGATGTCAGGGATTGCAAAAAGGATACCAAGAAAGCAGTTGTTGCTTCTGCCAATGCACTAAGACGTAGCACTTAGTGCCATCAGTTCCACTCAGAAGGATGGGTGTCAAGACAGTTGTGGTGGAATGAGCAAACGGAAACGGCTTGTTGATCCAGGAAGTGGGAAGTCCTGCAGCAAAATTCGAAAGGCTGGCATTTAGGTGCTGCGAAACCTGGGATGAGGCAAACCTGGATGACAAAAGGTGGAGATAAATGATGAGTAGTACAGGAAAATACAATCTCTGCTTCACAAACATTGCTTTCTAACTGAAGCCAAAGCTAAGAAAATGTTTGAAATCTGGACCAGTTTGCTAGCTACATCTCTCTATGTTATACTAATGCCTGCTGTTGTACCTTTTTCTTTGAATGCGTCTCTTGGTCAATACAAGAGAGCTGCCTCAGAAAAACTTTAAATTAATGCTTTCCAAATGTGTTTATCGCCTTTTAACACTTATTTTGTAATTGTCAGAAATAGAAACCTATCATGCTTAGAGAATATTTTTAAACACGTGAAGTATGGATATCATATTGTTTCCCCTTCCCCACTATTCTGAAGCAAAGTGGGAAGACAAACTGGTCCTCCTTTTCCCTATTATTTTAAATTTTAAAAGATCTGGAGACTAGAGACCACCACTTTCACTTCTTTATTCTTACGAGTTTTATGACAAGAGTGAGTTAATCTAATAGTAAGCACCCTCCACTTTCAATCAAGAGTTTATAAGTTCGAGTCACCCCAAGAGCAAGGGGGATTTCTTGGAGAGAGGGAGCCGAGGGTATATCGAAAACAGTCTCTCTATCCTATGGTAGGAGTAAGGTCTGCGTATACACTACCCTCCCCACACCCCATTAGTGGAATTATACTTGTTGTTGTTGTCGTTGTTTATTCTTACAAGTTTCAGGTTGCTTCTTGATAACTATAAAATACGTAATAAAATAAAACAAAATAAAAGTAGAAGAGAAAAGGAGGAGACCATCTGCAGAATCTACAACGTGAGCGCCAACTGCAGTATTTTTCTTATAAGTCAAAGAGTTTCAATAACAAACACCAGTCGGTGATCGGCAACTGCAATTTGGTAAGTAAATTCTACAATCTATCATGTCCCAAGTCAAGAAACACCGTACATATATTTCATAAATTCTTAACGAATCTATTGAATCAGTGAATGTCTCTTCATACGCTAAGAACATGCATATGGAAAACACAAATACATTATAAATAGTGCTTATTTCTTATGACTATGTATTTGAATTTTATTTCAAATTATGTACATAAAATGATGTACATTTGATTTTTTTTCTTTTTTTTTCTCAATATGAAGAATTAATAGCACTTATTTCTTAAATATCTTGTCATTATAATTTAGAAAATGGAACAAGCTAGGGAGTTCAAAGTAATGGACAAGTTGGCAATTCAAAATGATTTTATTCAATGGAGTTGTCAACTACCTTTTTTTATTTTACAAAAGGGCACGGTGGAAGAAATAGAGATATATATACCTATTAGTTGATAGTATTAGTCAACTTAGCACTTTTTTACTTTACGTCTCCTACTTTTTTAGGAGTTTAGCTTTATATGTCAATAGAAAATATTTTTAAAAAAAAATAGAACTTGTTATTTTTTATACATCAATACAAAATATAAAAATCTTTTAGCACTTTTGGCTTGATATGAGTTTGAATTGACTAGCATGATGGCTAAGGATTCATATAGCCGACCTCAACTTGTTTGGCACTAAAGCATTATTGTTGCTAAGTTACCTAATTTATTTTTATCCACAAAACATAAGAGTAATACTACAGAATCCGATGGAGCATGGGATTAAGGAAATGATAATAAAATAATATAAAAGGGAAAACACACTCCTAAACACCTGCATATACAAAAAGGAAGACTAGTGATTTACAAGAACATACTGAAACTTCCCTGTTACGAGGCCATGTGGATGATCAGTAATTTTTCCCTCAGAAAAAAGAGGCAAACTTTGGCCCATTATCTCGAGTTCCGATATTCGAAGGCTGCGGTAATTGGTACTAAGGGTTGGCCTTAGACGGATTTCTCGATAACAAAAAAAAGAAAAGAAAAAAGGAAGGTATGCGGTAGTTCTTTGATCATGGCATGATCAGTTGTTCAATACAGAAAACTCTAGACTTGCTTTGAGGACCTTTTCCGATAGCATATCACAATTACGATTACTGGACATTACCAGTTGCAGTTCCCTAATGCAAATGTCAGCACTTAAAACACACGTTGAGTAGCTGCAACGACACAGTATTATATTTACTGCCTCATACCATTTAAGGAGCCTCTACATGATAGAAACATGAGGCTCAAAAATCTAATGCAGAAGTTATTAACATTACATTTCATGAATTTTAATCTCACACACCAAAAAAAAGTTATACGTTGGAAATCTTATAATATTGACATTACACATCCATAAATTGGTTTTGAAGACAAAATCTTAAGCTTACTGTTTACCTTGGTCCAGATAAAACTGAAGCCAATTTCATACTGATAGTGGCTTCCCTCTGTTGGTTGTCTGCCCCAACCTGAGGTACGTTTGTGAAATTGTAATCCAAGTTGGATTCGACAGACACCAAACCTTCCAGTGCCTTAACCACCAATGTCATTGAAGGCCTCTTGGTGTAATCTCCCTGAAGACACCACGCAGCAATGCTCATCATTTCTGTCACTTCTTCTTTATGGAGCTGCATATCCTCGTTGTTTTTGTCAACCATATCCATGAGCTCCTCTTCTTCTGCTTTTCTCCTAAAAACTCTAAGCAAATGGACATCTTCTTCATCAGCCTCGGACCAATCCAAATTCTTTCGCCCACAGAGAATTTCCAAGAGCACAATTCCAAACGCATACACATCAACTTTCTCAGTGATTATCGAGCTCAACCATTCAGGAGCAAGATACCCTGGTGTTCCTCTCATTCTAGTTACAACTTTGCTTTTGTCTTTCTCGATTAGTTTTGACAACCCAAAATCAGATATCTTAGCATTGAGATGTTGATCCAGAAGGATATTTTGTGGTTTGATGTCCAAATGAATTATCTTCTGGCTGCAATCCTCATGTAAATAAGCTAACCCTTTGGCAATATCTGATATTATCTTTTGCCTTGTAAGCCATGTAAGCCCGTTTTCTTGTTTTTCATGGGAAATCCACCTATCCAATGATCCATTTACCATGTAATCGTAGATTAGAAGCCTGTGGCTTTTCTCGGCACAAAATCCAATGAGTTTTACCAAATTGACATGGTGAATGCCACCAACTATGTTTACCTCTGTTAAGAATGATTCTTTTACTTGACCTACACCATCCAGATGCTTCACAGCTATTTTGGTTCCATTACTCAGTGTTCCTTCATATACAGAGCCAAATCCTCCTTCCCCAAGCTTTTTGCTGAAATCTTCTGTAATTATTTTCAAGTCATTGTAAGAGAATCGAGTTAGCATTCCAGGTAAGATTGGTTCTAGATCCAGCAAATACCCAGCCTTGCGGGACCTATCTGTCCTCTTTTTGAACAGAACAAAGCAAGTACTGATGCTTAAAATTATCCCGAACAAAGCTGCAAGAGTAGCTCCTATTATCACTTTAAAAGGTCTTGATTTCTTTCCTCCAGGAATGATTGGAGACTGAGTCAGCGCCATTGAGGAATTCTGCACCTTAAGAAATATTGTCTTGCCTCTTCCTCCTTCATTGTCTATGAGAGAGAAGACTTCATTCAGTAACAAACAACTTCCTATTCGATTAGAATCCCAATCATTTTCAAAAACAGCTGCTTTGCAAGAACAGTTACTCAGACATGCCCTTTTGCATTCTTCCAACTTTTTCCCCTCAAGCCAAAATATGCTCGAACTTAGTTCATGACTGAACTTAAATGCAAAATATACAGTATCCTTAAGCTCTACGAAACTATGATACCGCGAAGAGTCGCAGTTAACCTCTTTCATCTGTGAACATCCAAGATCTGGTTTCCTGTCAGAAAGAGGCCTGAAGAAATTTTCCTCTTGCGGACAAGTACATTGCCCGTTATTTGTACAAATGCTATATCTTCCACACACCATTGGGTACCCACAGTTTCCTGCATCTGGCATCAAAATGTCAGATACCTCTTTCCAGTCAATTACGGCCCATTGGTATACCCTTAAATGTCCATCGGGCTCAAGCTTCATGCATTGAGCCGTCGATGTAGGAGGATACTGTAAAGCAGTAAGGGTTTGACCATCAAAACTGAAGTAAGGACTATCAGAGTAAGTTGAAGTGTAGTAATACTGAGGTGGGTCAGTATCTGTGTAAGTGGCCCAGCTTCCATTGAGAATAGTAAGAGAAAGCAAACCTTGACTCCGATTGGATGCTGAAATGCTTGCTACGAGCTTCTGCCCGCGAACTAAACTCTGCCCTGGAAGCAAAGAATCCGTTGGATGATCAAAAGACTGCCAAATTGCGCGTTTTCTCTTATCAAATAGCATAAGATTCCCTCTTTCTGTCAAGTTTAAGCCTGAAACAGATTTGCCAGTAGTATTAGTGGACCAAACAAGAGTGCCATCAGAGTCTGCCAAGACCAAATTGCCATCTCGGCCTAGTTGCAAGGTTGCATTGGCTTTCACTGGATGGTTCCTATTAGCAGACCAAACTAACTGGGGAAAATTTATGATATCGTTCTGCCCGTCGGATCTGTTGTGGAACAAGAGGACACCAAGAAAGCATTCTGTGGCATTGTAATTACAGTAGAAGCCACAGAGGAATCGTGGGCCGGCAGTTCCTCGCAGAAGTATGGGTGTCGACCCATAGAAGTCCTCGGTGGAATTTATCAGAAGAGATGGCCTGTTGATCCATAAAGAGGAAAGTCCGGCAGTAGAATTTAAACGACTGAAATTTGTATTCCATGAATGTTGGGATATAGCAAACTGAGACAAACAGAAGAGGAGATAAATGAAGAGAAGGATAGCAAAATATTGTCTCCGTTTTGCTATCATTGCTACTCCCTCTGTGTTATAGTAATCCTCGTTGTTGTTCCTTTTGGGGGATATGATCTTCTTATTATGTACAGTTCAAGAAAGAAAAAGGAAATCATACAGAATTCCAAAGTGATATCTGTAATTGTAATTTGCTCCATACATTAGTTTCTATTAGCTTGGGTTTCTTTCTCAATCTTTGCTCAGTAGAAGGCGCATCACCATTTAATTTCTTCCGTTCTGTTGACTTCCAACACTATTTCAGCAGCCAACTTTGACTATAACAATGATTTCTCATTTTATTTACAAAAAAATTGAAAGCGAAAGAAGAGCGTTGACAAACCATTGAAGTTGTAAATCCTCATAATTCCATTAGATTTGATTTCTCAATTTGCAGCGACAAATAAATTGATATCACTTGTTTCATTAATGACGGTTGTTATGATCAGGGCGGAGGCAGAAGCCGAGCTACGGGTCCGGTCGAACCCAATAGCTTTTGCTCAAACAATATATTTTGAGCAAATGTACACATATTTGCTCAAACAGTAGCTTTTATGAAATTCATTAAATATGTACAAATAGTAAATATAAAACCCAGTCATTAACGTTTGAATCATCGTTCTAAAATCCAAAATCCATAAAGCTGAAATCCTAACTCCATCTCTGTTGTGATTTTCTTTGATATAGAGCTTCTCATTGTGTACAGTTGAGGAAAGAAAACTCTATAATAAAATTTCTACATCCTTGTCTCTAGGACTTTCATAGATACTTCGAGCGATAAAGGTGCTGCGTCGGGGCCGCCTCAACGAAGCAGCCCTCTTTCTTTACAAAAGAAAGGATGCATGCCCCTTTGTCAGTCTTTGCCCAGTCAATACGGAGAGGGGCCTCACAAAAACTTATTCAATGTGCTGTTATCTTCATAATTAAACTTTTGTTGACTTGTACACTCTTTCCAGTAGCTCAGTATTGACTAAGTATAATACTATAACAATTGACTTCTCATTTCATTTACTAAACTTTGAAAGCCTCATGCTCCAGGTGGTTATTAAAGTAAAGCATGATTATGGTTATTAATTTAAATAAACTTTTCACCCATTTAGCCTCTAAATCCTCAAATTACATTTCTACTGCAGATTGTTAACTGCTTAAAGATGTTCAACTTTATGCCAATGCAGTTTGGCTTCAAAGCTAGGAAGGGACTTTTCAAACACTGGAGCTGTATGTTTAGCTTGAAAATGACTTTTTTCCAACCTATAAAAAATAATCTATAAATATCACTTCAAGCATTTGCTCGTTTGTATGAGGAGCTTGGGGGCAAAGGCGGGGACAAGAAGTTGTACCGGTTGGCCAAGGTGAGGGAGAAGAAGGCCCGTGACTTAGACCAAGTCTAGTGCATCAAGGACGAGGATATCAAAGTATTAATGGACGAGACACTTATTAGAAGAAGATGGCAGACATACTTCCATAAACTGTTGAACGAGGAGGGGGATAGAAGCATTGTGCTAGGTGAGCTGGAGCACTCAGAGAGTCGGTGGGATTTTGGGTACTATAGACGGATTAAGGTAGAGGAGGTAAAAGGGGTGATGCGTAAGATGTGCAGGGGTAGAGCGACGAGGCCACACGAAATTTCGGTGGAATTCTGGAAGAGCGCGGGGCGAGCAGGCTTGGAGTGGCTCACTGGGCTGTTTAATGTTATTTTTAGGACGAAGAAGATCCCCGAAGAATGGAGGTGGAGTACGATGGTTCCGATGTACAAGAACAAGGGTGATATCCAAATTTGCAACAATTATAGGGGTATCAAGCTGTTGAGTCATACTATGAAGGTTTGGGAGAGGGTGGTGGAGGCCAGGGTGTAGAGGTGCATGTCTATTTCCGAGAATCATTTTGGATTCATGCCGGGGTGTTCGACTACGGAAGCGATTCATCTGGTAAGGAGATTAGTGGTGCAGTACAAGGAGAGGAAGAAGGACTTGCATATGGTATTTATTGACCTTGGAAAGCGTACGATAAAGTCTCGAGGGAGGTCGTGTGGAGGTGTTTGGAGGCTAGCGGCGTTCCGGAAGCATATATTAGGGTGATTAAGGATACGTATGATGGTGCTAAGACTCGGGTGAGGACTGTGGGTGGTGACTCGGAGCATTTCCCTGTTGTGATGGGGTTGCACCAGGGATCGGCTCTTAGCCTGTTTTTATTTGCCTTGGCGATGGATGTACTGTCGCGACACATCCAAGCGGAGGTGCCTTGGTGCATGCTATTTGCCGATGATATAGTATTGATTGACGAGACGCGAAGTGGAGTTAACGCGAGGTTGGAGGTTTGGAGACAGACCTTGGAGTCTAAAGGTTTCAAATTGAGCAGAACCAAAACAGAATACTTGGAGTGCAAATTTAGTGACGGGACCCATGAAGCAGACGTAGAGGTAAAGCTTGATGCTCAAGTTATCCCCAAGAGAGCTAGTTTTAAGTATCTCGGGTCTATTATCCAAGGTAACTGGGAGATTGACGAAGATGTCGCACATCGCATCGGAGCGGGATGAATGAAATGGAGGCTTGCTTCTAGTATTTTATATGATAAGAATGTACCGTCAAGACTTAAGGGAAAGTTTTATAGAGTGGTGGTTTGACCGACTATGTTGTATGAGGCTGAGTGTTGGCCGGGCAAGATCTCCCACGTGCAGAAAATGAAAGTAGCAGAGATGAGGATATTGAGATGGATGTGTAGGTGTACCAGGAGGTATAAGATTAAAAATAAAGTTATCCGGGACAGAGTGGGAGTAGCCTCCGTGGAGGACAGGATGCAGGAGTCGAGGCTGAGATGGTTCGGATATGTTAAGAGAAGAAGCATTGATGCTCCTGTTAGGAGATGTGAGAGGTTGGCCATGGCGAGTTTGAGAAAAGGTCGAGGTAGGCCTAAGAAGTACTGGGAGAGTTGATTAGATAGGACATGGCGCTGCTTCAGCTCACTGAAGATATGACCCTTGATAGCAGGGTGTGAAGGTCGAGGATTAGGGTAGAAAGTTAGTAGGTAGTTTTTTAGTTGCTCACCGATAGTCTTAGTAGCACGCATGTTCCTTCATATTCTTAGATTTTTATTGCGTTATGTGGTTGTGTTCGCCTCAGGTATTGTATTCCCTGTTGCTATTATTTGGTACTACTTATCCATTATCTCCCTCTTTTTCTTCTCTCTTCCTTCTCTCTTCCTTTCTTGCTTTTCTTCTTCTTCTTCTCACCCTTTTCGAGCCGAGAGTCTATTAGAAACAATCTCTCTACCTGCATTAAGTAGGGGTAAGGTCTGCGTACAGACTACCCTCCCCAGACTCCACATGTTGGGAACATACTGGGTTTGTTGTTGTTGATATCATTAGATATCTTTAACTAAGTAATTTCTGTACCAACTAGCAGTTTTAACTACTTGAACCGAGTTAGAGCGGTACTAGCATCAAATGTTCTTAGTTACTCAGTCATTCCAATTGAGTATTGTATAAAATAATTCTCTGATTACTTAATTTTCTCTTAGTATAATTTTTTTACATCATATAAAAAAGAGGGAGGAGTGGGGAATCTCTCATACATTAGTCATGTACTTGACAAAGAAGGATCCATTGACGAAGCATGTAACTATATTGTTAGGATCGGTAAACCGAGTAGTGAAGAATTTAGTCAAACAATGTTATAATGACAATAACAAAGACAATGCAAGTTGATAATAACGGCAATTAAAGAAGATAAAGAAGACACAAATTTAACGTGGTTCGATCAAGGTGACCTACGTCCACAAGCAGAGAGGAGCAATTTTACTATACCAACAAGAGTACAAAAGAGAGTACAGAATTAGAGTAAATACTTTAATTAGTCCCAAATACCCCAAGAGAATAACCTCACAAGATCACTCCAAAGAAAGGGTTCACACAAGTGTTTTCCAATACTCACTCTCTTACAAAATACTCTATAATAAAATAAAGGGGGAGAAAGAAAGACAAGAGTGAAAAGCTCTTGAATTGATGTGTTTACAAATGAGGAGAAGCTCCTCTATTTATAGCAAGAAATCCTTGGCCTAATAGTGGATATTATGTCATGAAAAATGTCATGATCCACAAATTTTGTTATAGTGGATATTATGTCATGAAAAATGTCATGATCCACAAATTTTGTTATAGTGGATATTATGCCATGGCAAATATCATGAAAATTTGCCCCCCACTTGAGAAGAAGCCAAATTAATGGCCATATTAGAAATCTCCACCTTGGCCTAATTTCGGCTTATATATAGTAAATTTGCTCCACCTTCTACGCAAAAACCCCAATGGGCAAAATCATTTTTCATAAATGCCAATCAAGGTCAGGCAAAGCTTGAACTTGGACACTGGAAAAGATTTTGTGAATATGTCAGTATGATTGTCTCTAGTGTTGATCTTCTGAACAGAGACTTTTCCTTTAGTAATATTTTCTCGGATGAAATGATACTTTATATCAATGTGCTTCGTCCTCTCATGATACATATGATCTTTAGTCAAGTGAATGGCACTTTGACTATCACAGAAAATAGTAAAACCACCTTGGTGTGAATTGAGTTCCGCAAATATACCCTTCAACCATAAGGCTTCTTTGATTGCCTCGGTCACTGTCATATATTCTGCTTCGGTAGTAGATAAAGCTACTATATGTAATGTAGCTTTCCAACTAATAGTGCAACCACCAATGCAAAATACATAGCCTGTCAGTGATCTTCTTTTGTCAAGATCACCTGCATAATCTGAGTCTACAAAACCAACCAAAGTGCTAGTATTTCTCCCAAACTCCAAACGTGTGTTTGAAGTACCTTGCAAGTATCTGAGAATCCATTTCAAAGCCTGCCAGTGTGCTTTACCAGGGCAAGCCATATACCGTCTTACCACGCTCACTGCTTGTGAAATGTCTGGACGTGTACAAACCATTGCATACATAATACTGCCGACTACACTGGAATAAGGAACTTGTGCCATGTACCTCTCTTCTTCCTCTGACTGCGGGGATTGAGCAACTNTTTGTGCCTAACTATAGCCCTTTGCAACTAATCGTGCCTTATACCTTGCATCTTCAACCCCTGGAATGCCATCATTTTTCTTGAAGACCCATTTGCAACCAACAATTCTTTTTCTTGATGGCGGCTTCACAAGAGACCAAGTACCATTCTTGTGGAGAGACTCAATTTCTTCATTCATTGCAATCAGCCACTTGGTTGAGTCAGCACCAGAAACTGCTTCTGAAT